CGGCGCAGGCGGAGCCGCGAGGCAGGCGCGCGGCCCCGGCACGTCATCATCAACGTGGGCGGCTGCCGCGTGCGCCTGGCCTGGGCGGCGCTGGCGCGCTGTCCGCTCGCGCGCCTGGAGCGCCTGCGGGCCTGCCGCGGCCACGACGAGCTGCTGCGGTGTGCGACGACTACGACGTGAGCCGCGACGAGTTCTTCTTCGACCGCAGCCCGTGCGCCTTCCGCGCCATCGTGGCGCTGCTGCGCGCCGGGAAGCTGCGGCTGCTGCGCGGCCCGTGCGCCCTGGCCTTCCGCGACGAGCTGGCCTACTGGGGCATCGACGAGGCGCGCCTGGAGCGCTGCTGCCTGCGCCGCCTGCGCCGCCGCGAGGAGGAGGCGGCCGAGGCGCGCGCGGGCCGCGGGCCAAGGGGCGCCGGGGAGCCCGGCCGCGCCCTGTGGGAGGCCGGCGCGCGCCTGGGCCCGGGCGGGCGGCTGGAGCGCGGCCGGCGGCGCCTGCGCGACGTGGTGGACAACCCGCACTCGGGACTGGCGGGCAAGCTCTTCGCCTGCGTGTCCGTGGCCTTCGTGGCGGTCACGGCCGTCGGCCTCTGCCTGAGCACCATGCCGGACATCCGCGCTGAGGAGGAGCGGGTGAGAGCGGGCCGGGGGCTCCTAGGGCCAAGGGCGGCAGGGGGTGGACAGGGGTGGGGGTTGTGTAGATGGTTAGGGTCAGGGGCCAAGGCCGGGATTGGATGGACAGGGGTGGACAGGGTGGGGTTGTGTAGATGGTTAGGGTCAGGGGCCAAGGCGGGGATTGGATGGACAGGTGGACAGGGGTGGGGGTTGTGTAGATGGTTAGGGTCAGGGGCCAAGGCCGGGGATTGGACAGGGGACTAGGGGGGCAGACGAGGGGTAGTGGGAAGTCAGGGTCAGGGGGTAGGGTCAGGGACCAAGGCCGGGGATTGGGACAGGCACTAGGGGGGCAGACCGGGTGGTGGGAAGTCAGTTAGGGGTCAGGGGTGGTAGGGTCAGGGGCCAAGGCCTAGGGCTGGACAGGGGACTGAGGGGGCAGACGAGGGTGGTGGAAGGCAGTTAGGGTCAGGGGTGGCAGGGACAGAGGCCAAGGCCTAGGACTTGGCAAGGACGGGCATGGCAGGGAAGGGGTGTGCAGGTAGGGTCAGGACCATGGGCGGGTGGCTGGGCTGAGGACTCCCTATCTAGTGGTGGTCTCTACTAAAAATAGAAAGAAATTAATTGGCCAACTAATATATATAGAAAAAATTAAAGCCGGCATGGTGGTGCATGCCTGTAGTCCCAGCTACTCGGGAGGCTGAGGCAGGAGGATCGCTTGAGCCCAGGAGTTTGAAGTTGCTGTGAGCTAGGCTGACGCCACAGCACTCACTCTGGCCTGGGCAACAAAGTGAGACTCTGTCTCAAAATAAAAAAAGTTCTTAGATATAACATCAAAAGCATGATCCGTAAAAGAACAAAATTGATAAATCACACTTCATCAAAATTTAAAACTTTGGCGGGCGCGGTGGCTCACGCCTGTAATCCTAGCACTCTGGGGAGGCCCGAGCGGCGGATTGCTGGAGGTTGGGAGTTCGAAACCATCCTGAACGAGACCCCGTCTCTACTAAAAATAGAAAGAAATTAATTGACCAACTAAAAATATATATACAAAAAACTAGCCGGGCATGGTGGCACATGCCTGTAGTCCCAGCTACTTGGGAGGCTGAGGCAGGAGGATCGTTTGAGCCCAGGAGTTTGAGGTTGCTGTGAGCTAGGCTGACGCCACGGCACTCACTCTAGCCTGGGCGACAAAAGTGAGACTCTGTCTCAAAAAAAATAAATAAATAAAATAAAATAAAAAATAAAAAATATAAAAAAAAAATTTAAAACTTTTGTCTGCGAGAATTAAAAGACCAGCTTCAAGAGTGGGAAAAATGTTTGCAAATCACGTATCTGACGAAAAGACTTGTTATTAGATGGCATAAAGCACTGTTTAAACTTAACTGTAATAAAACGACCCATTTAAAAAGGGACAAAAGATTTGAAATTTTTTTAAAAAGATGCTTCACCAAAGAAGACATGAATGGTAAATACATGAAAAGATGCTCAGCCTTATCCGTTACTAGGGAAATACAAACTAAACCACAGTGAGACGTCAGCTCCATGCTGGAAGGGCTGTAATTTCAGACTCAGTGAGCCGGCAGGAGTAGGTGCGGCCGCTGAGCGCTGGGCCCGCGCGTGGGTGCGGCGAGGAGAGCAGCTGCGTCTCTTCCTTTTTTTTTTTTTTGAGACAGAATCTGGCTCTGTTGCTGGGCTAGAGTGAGTGCCGTGGCGTCAGCCTAGCTCACAGCAACCTCAATCTCCTGGGCTCAAGCAATCCTCCAGCCTCAGCCTCCCGAGTAGCTGGGACTACAGGCATGCGCCACCACGCCCGGCTGATTTTTTGTATATATATATATTTTAGTTGGCCAATTAATTTCTTTCTATTTATAGTAGAGACAGGGTCTCTTGCTCTTGCTCAGGCTGGTTTTGAACTCCTGACCTTGAGCGATCCTCCCGCCTCAGCCTCCCAGAGTGCTAGGATTACAGGCGTGAGCCACCGCACCCGGCCTCACTAATGATTTTTTTTCGGTATATTTTTTAGTTTTTTTCTTTAGTGGTTGCTCTAGGGTTTACCATATACAACTTGCCAAAATCTGCTTCAGATTTGCATTAGCGTCATTCAGGTGAGATACAGAAAGGTTACACCTGTGTAGCTATAGTCACTTTTCTCCCCGTTGGTGATATTGTTATACATACTATATCTGTCACTGTTACAAACCCAACGATACATTATTATATTACATTACATGTAATTACATACATTATTGTGTTACACATAATTTATATACATTATTGTATCACATATATATATTCTGTCATTATACTGTTACAGCTGTTCCCACACAACTCCTTTGTGCTTTTTATTGGCAAATACCTTGCACATATATTACGTTTCTATATGCTGTAGGCCTGACAATACATTATATACATATTATTTTTATACAATTGCTTTTCAAATCAGTTAAGAGAAGAAATAAGAAAAAATGCATTTATAGTGTCTTTTCTAATCACATAATTACATTTACTGGTGCAGCTTTGTTTGTGTGGATTCAGATTTTCATCTAGGGTCACCTGAAGTGTTTCATATTCCTTGAAAGGCAGATCTGCTAGCAATGCATTCTCTCAGTTTTTGTTTACCTGGGAAAGTGTTTATTTTTCACCTTCATTTTTTAACAGCTTTGCTGGATGTGAGATTCTTAGTTGACAGGGTTTTTCCTTTGAGCACGCTGAATAGATCATCCCGCTGCCTGCTAAGACGTTGGCTGTTAGACTTGTGGAGCTTCCCTTGTGAGTGACGCTTCACTTTCCTCTTGCTGCTTTTGAGACTTTCTCTTTGTTTTTTACTTTTGTTATTTTATTGTGATTACATTTATTTCTGGGTCTCTGTGTTTATCCTTCTTGGAGTTCATTGAGCTTCTTGGATGTGTAGGTAATTGCTTTTCAATAAATTGGGAGTTTTTTCAGCCATTGTTTCTTTGAATATTTTTTCTCCCTTCTCTTCTCTGTTGTTGGTGCACATTATAGTGCTCACATTTCCTGAGTCTTCATTTATTTTTCTCTTTTTTCTCTCTGTCCTTCAGCTTGCACAAATGCTACTGAGCTATCTTCACGTTCGATAATTCTTTTTTTCTGCCAATTCAAACCTAGAGTGTTAAGTTTTTCTAGTGAATTTTTTAATTTTTTATTTCAATTGTACTTTTCAACTCCATAACTTCCATTTATTTATTTTTTTAATTTCTGTTTCTCAGTTGATAGTCTTCATCTGTGGCATTTCATCATGCTTTCCTTTAGCTTTGTGAACATGTGCATAGTGGCTACTCTGAAATATTTTTTGTTAAATTTGATATCTGGTCACTCTCACAGGCAGTTTCTGTTGCCTGCTTTTTTTCCCCAGGATATAGTTTATACTTTCCTTCTTTCTTTTTTAACATGCCTTTTGACTTTTTTTTTTGTTGGAAACTGGACATTTTAGACAACATATTCTAGCAACTGTCAGTACTACTCCCCATCATGGTCTTGTTACTCACTTTGTTCTTTTAGCGACTGGCTGGGTTGTTCTGGTGAAGGCTGTGCTGAGCCTCTGGGTGCGCCCACAGTCACTCTGGGATGGGGGTTTGGGTAGGAAACTCCTCCTCTCTTTCACTGGCCACGCCCAGCTGTTAAACTCCACCAGTAGCCCACTGACAGCTCTATTTTCAACAGTGTCCCAGGGCATAGGTTCCTCTACAAACTAGTCAAATTGTGGCTCCTCGGTAGTTTCTTTCCTTTTTTTTTTTTTTTTGAGACAGAGTCTCACTCTGTTGTCCAGGCTGGAGTGCTGTGGCATCAGCCTAGCTCACAGCAACCTCCAACTCCTGGGCTCAAGCAATCCTCCTGCCTCAGCCTCCTGAGTAGCTGGGACTACAGGCACACACCACTGTGCCTGGCTAATTTTTTCTATTTTTAGCTGTTTGGCTAATTTCTTTCTATTTATAGTAGAGATGAGGTCTCGCTCTTGCTCAGGCTGGCTCAGTAGTTTCTGAGGTCAGTGTCTGATGCTGTTCTGACCTCAGGGGTCCCCCCCCCCCCGCCAGCGATCTTACTCCCTGGTTCTCTCCTGCGAACTCAGCAGCCTACAGTCCACACTGTGTCTTTAATAGATCCACGAATATCCTCCTAATTCCCTTCACCCCAACTCCAGTGTTCTGAGAGCGACCTTAAGGTTTAAACTCCATGTTCTGCTGCAAATGAAGTCACTTTCTCTGGGAAGAGACTAGGTTAGAATCTATCCCTTACTTCCTCCTCCTCCTCCTTCCAGGCAAAATCTCTGAGCCCGGCTCTGGAGCTGGGGATGGAACAAGAAAAAGCTTCAGTCTGAGTGACACCCCCTCTCTAGGAGCTCAGTGCTTGGGGGCGGCACCCTCAGACCACATGGGCTTGGAGTCACTGCCTCTCGCACCCAGACAGGGGGCTCTGAGGCCTCATATTCTCAACCTGCCACACTCGAGGTCCAGGTTCTGGTCCCTGAGTGGCCCCATCCCTCCACTGGACTCTCCCTGGGCCCCCACTCCAGCAACAGGTAGCTGGAGGTAGAATGCAGATTGCTGGCAGCCGGCCCTTCCTGGGGAGAAAGCTCCCCATGTGGGCGCTGTGGGAGAGGGGCCTCCCTGCCTTGCTGGGCTGGGAGGGAGAATGCAGTCTTGGCTCAAACTCCACAGACTAACCTTTCTTGCTGAATGTTCACAGATTTTCTCGAATAGATGTTTTTCTTCATCTGCTATTTGCTCAGAAGGCCATTGCCAGAGGCTTTAAGTGCTTAAGGGTTTTTAATGATTTTCACCAGTTTCCTGGGTCGGCCAAGCTCATCGGTGGCTCTCTTGCATTAATTGTGCCTCCAATTAAGACTTTTTTTTTTTTTTAACAGGAATTGGGCCTTTGCAGGGGCACGCTTCCCCGGGTGGGGTGGGAGAGGAAGGGCAGACTCCCCGCGCCCTGGGCGGCCTGGCCCCAACCGCGGTGCCTTCTCCCCGCAGGGCGAATGCTCGCACAAGTGCCGCAGCCTCTTCGTGCTGGAGACCGTGTGCGTCGCCTGGTTCTCCTTCGAGTTCCTGCTGCGCTCCCTGCAGGCCGAGAGCAAGTGCGCCTTCCTGCGGACGCCGCTCAACATCATCGACATCCTGGCCATCCTGCCCTTCTACGTGTCGCTGCTCGTGGGCCTGGCGGCGGGCGGCCCCGGGGGCAGCAAGCTGCTGGAGCGCGCGGGGCTGGTGCTGCGGCTGCTGCGCGCGCTGCGCGTGCTCTACGTGATGCGCCTGGCGCGCCACTCGCTGGGGCTGCGCTCGCTCGGCCTGACCGTGCGCCGCTGCGCGCGCGAGTTCGGGCTGCTGCTGCTGTTCCTGTGCGTGGCCATGGCCCTGTTCGCGCCGCTCGTGCACCTGGCCGAGCGCGAGCTGGGCGCGCGCCGCGACTTCTCCAGCGTGCCCGCCAGCTACTGGTGGGCCGTCATCTCCATGACCACCGTGGGCTACGGCGACATGGTCCCGCGCAGCCTGCCCGGCCAGGTGGTGGCGCTCAGCAGCATCCTCAGCGGCATCCTGCTCATGGCCTTCCCCGCCACCTCCATCTTCCACACCTTCTCGCGCTCCTACTCCGAGCTCAAGGAGCAGCAGCGGCGCGCCGCCAGCCCCGAGCCCGCCCTGCGCGAGGACAGCACGCGCTCGGCCTCGGCCTCCGCCTCGGCCGCGGAGGACAGCTCGCAGGGCTCACGGGGCTCACGGGGCTCACGGGGCTCGCAGGGCCCCGACGGCAGCGGCCACCCTGACGGTGCGCCCTGGGAGCGTCCCCGGCCTTCTCCTCCTCCTCCTCCTCCCCCCTCTATTTCCTCCAATTTCAAGTTTTCTATGGCTGGCCAGATACGGATTCAGTAAGTTCCAGAAACTCCAAGCCTGCAGCTCACGCCAGACTGCCGCGCTGCCTTAGGCCTCGCCTGACGTTCGCCTTCAGCCCGGGTGGCCCCGTGGGAACAGAGGCCAAAGTCCATGTCTCCTTCCGGGCTCAGCCCTGCTCACAGCCCCCATTCCACCACAGAGTGCCCTTGGGGGGCGTCCTTGGGCCCCCAGATGGTGACAAGGGCTTCCTGACACAGCCACTAACCACCACCCCCTGGATTCCGGTTGCAGAGCCCAAAATTTCCTTGTGGGAATTTTAACCATTTTCCTGCCTTCCAGGGCAGGAATCCAGGCCTGTGGGACATCTTCGCCCTCTAGAACACCTCCTCACCCCTAGCGGGACATTTCCCTAAGACTGAAATGGAACAAAGAACCCCTCTGCCCTGCAGCCCTGGCTTCGGCAGGGGCAGGAAGGGATTCAGGGAAGAGCTGGGTGACTCCTTCTCCGGGCAGCTCCTGCAGGGCCCTCAAAAGCATGAGCCTTCTCTGCTCCGTGGAGACCAGCCGGGATGGCACTTTCCAAATCTTGCCACTCCATACTTTCATCTCAGTGATCCCAGCCTGAATACCTGAGACGTCTCAGCCCACAGCAAGAGGGTCCTGCTGTCCAGGTACAGGGAGCTTGTCTGGGGGCCGGTGGCTGTGCTACTGCAGACACTCTCTGAGTCGGCCGGAACAATAGAAAGCACCAGCCTCCTGCACGGCTGCCAGTCGAGTGGGTTGCTCTTGGGGCACCGCTGTGCTCTGTGGGGTCTGCCGCAGAGCACGGGGCGCCTGGGGCCAGAAAGGGGGGTTCCTGTGATGGGCACGGCATGAACCACCAGGGCAGGGCACCCCTGACCGAGACAGCATCCCTGCACCTGGCCTGGTCGTACAAAGCACTCTCCACGCCCACAGCTGCAAGCCCGTCTGCAGAATCCCAGACTGCACAGCAAGCCCAGCCTCACACTGGCCCTGCTGCCCCGGGGCAGGGCCAAGAACAGAACCCAGGGTGCGAATGGGCTGAGAGTTCCACATGAGCCTGGCTTCTGTGGGGCGGAACACCATGACACAGCCTGTCCCCACCTCTGTCTCCCTTTCCTCAGCCAGCACCAGCACACACAGCACCTGGTGGACACACTCCACCCGGAGTCTGCCGTCAGGGTGCTGGGATGCTGGGAAACTTGGTCTGGCCAGTGACCTAGACAGTTCCTCCAGTTTGCTCAGATTGAGCAAAGCCAGCCGTCAGCACAGGTGAGGCCTCGATCCCACATCTGCCTCCCAGGGGCCCCACGTGTCCATGGATCCTGACGTCAGCTCCCTGGGGCAGAAAGGGGAAGCCGAGCTGCCCACGGTGGACCAGGCCAGGTGTGGCACCTGCCCAGCGAGCCAGTCTGGAGAGCAAGAACCCCGGGGCTCCACTGCCACTCCTCAGGTGCACAGACCTGCCCTGCTTGCTGCACCTGTCCCCTCCCTGCAGGACCACACATCCCAGGCCAGCAGGGGTCTGAGGGACACGGGTGTGCAGCCAGGACAGGGAGTGCAGCCTCACTCCTCCTCGGGGGAGTACCATCCCCCAAAGCTGTGGTGGCAGCCAGGTGGCACCTGAGAGCAGCTTGGCCTCAGCCCTGCCTCCTCCCAGCCAGGACCCACACCCCTCTCACAGGACAGCCTTGGAGAGGTGCGAGCCAGCCACCCGGCAGGCGCAGCAGGGCTCAGAAGTCACGAGAATGTGCTTGGCCAGGGTGAATGTCACCAATAGGGACCTGCTGGCTATTTTACTTTAGCCATAACAGCTTTATCCAAGGTACGAGAGGGAATTCCTTTAACTGGGGCGTGTGTCCAGCTGAGGTGACAAGTGTCCCTTAAATGAACTGGCCTCATCAACATAGCGAAAATCACACCCACCAGCCCCAACCGTGCACACCTGCCACGGCTACTCCTGGAAGTCACCTCTAAGGTCAAGGGAAGGGTTCCGGGTTCTAGGAACTCTCCACCACTGTCCCAGAAAACCCACGAATGTTCCACCCCAGCTCAGCACAGAAGGGGACCAGCACAGAAGGACAGACGCTGACCTTGGGCAGCACTGCCCCCTTGAGGATCAGTCTGCTCTTTGCTTCAGTCCTAGAGTGTACTTTGCTTTCAATAAATCTGCTTCTGTCTACACTTCACGTCTTAATTCTTCTCTTTTGCTGGTTACCCTGCCCTTGAATTCGTTCCTGGGTGGGGTTCGTGGACCCTCTCTGCCGGCCCGGTGGTCTGCACTGGTATCACGTGGTCCTGCCCGGGCAGGGGCCAGCAGACCCTCGCCAGAGGACAGCGCTGCCGGTGAGCTTCCTCTTGTGCAGCCGGCGAAGACCCCGAAATAGACCCGCACTGTCACTCCCGGGGTGGCAGCCTCCCGCCCCACACTGGGCTGCAGTGGTTCTGATGTGGGAACCTGGGAGCCCTCAGACCAGGGGCCCCCGGAGCAGGGGGGGGTACACTTCCACCTGGGCACAAGGACCACCGACCCGGGGCTGCCATTCCCTCGGGGAAGGGCCCACCTCTGTGCCTCAGTTTCCTCACTGTGAAAGCCACAGTTGTCCCAGTTGTATGTGTCGTCTGTTAAACTGTGTTGTTTGTCTCTTGATAGTTTATTGTGGTCTTGTCTTGGGCGCTGTGTGTTGTGCTTGGGTGCCGTTGAGGGCTCCCTGGTTCCTGGCACGGCGTCTGTGTGCAGTGATTTGCGGGTTTGTTGGAGGTCTGTGAGTGCTCGTAGAATTCCTATCCCTGTGAATGTCAACGCCTGATTGCGCGTGTCCGTGTGTGACCAATCCGTGCGTGGCGCCGTAGTCTGGACCCCCGCTCCCTCGGTGAGGTGTGTTGGCAGCGAACGCCACCCAAGCGCCACTGCTGGACCCCACGCACGCTGCGGACGCTCACGCCCAGCCCCCGTGACCCCGACCCCAGCCGCTGCTGACCGTCACCACCAACTGCTGATCGCTCACGCCCAACCCCTGACCCACGCCAGACTGAAGCCCCACGCGCCCCACCTACTGGACTTCACGCCCCAACCCCTGACCGCCACGCCGCGCCGCCCGCGCACCCGCTGACCGCCACCCACCGCTGGACCTCACGCCCAACCCCGTGTCCCCACCCACCTGCTGACCCCACCCAGCCCACCTGCTGTACCCACCGCAACCCCTGACCGCGCCCCACCTGCTGGACCGCCACCCCCACCCAGCCTCACCACCAGCCCGCCACCGAGGTGATCTGGAGATGGATACCCGCGATGAGCAGCTCCGGGACTGCACAAGCTCGCTGTCAGTGTCGGGCGTCTGGAACCCCACGTTTGCTGGCTGAGGCCCTTCACGCTGGGGAAAACCGATCTGAGTGTGGGTCCCTCTGTGGACCAGCAGGGTGACCGCAGCGAGGAGCTCCAGAGGGTCCTGCCAGGCTCTGCTCCAGCGTACGGTGCTGCAGCCCAGCGAGACCAGTCTGCTGTCCGCCCTGGCACTGCCCGTCCCCACCACACACCGCCACGTGCCCTGCCACACGCCCTACCACGCACCCCACACATGCCCCACCACACACCCTGCCATGTGCCACCACACGCCCTACCACACACCCCACACATGCCCCACCACACACCCTGCCATATGCTGCTACACACCCCACCACGCGCCCCACCACTCACCCTGCTGTGTGCTGCCACACACCCCACCACGCACCCTGCCACATGCCCCGCCACACGCCCCACCACGCACCCCACACACGCCCCGCCACTCACCCTGCTGTGTGCTGCCACACGCCCCACCACGCACCCTGCCACGTGGCCTGCCACATGCCCCACCACGCACCCCACACATGCCCCACCACTCACCCTGCTATGTGCTGCCACACGCTCCACCATGCACCCTGCCATATGCTGCCACACGCCCCACCACGCACCCCACACATGCCCCACCACTCACCCTGCCATGTGCTGCCACACGCCCCACCATGCACCCTGCCACGTGCCCTGCCACATTCCCCACCACGCACCCCACACATGCCCCACCACTCACCTTGCCATGTGCTGCACACGCCCACCATGGACCCTGCCATGCGGCAACGCGCCCCACCACCCCACACATGCCCCACCACTCACCCTGCTGTGTGCTGCCACACACCCCACTATGCACCCTGCCACGTGTCCTGCCACATGCCCCACCACCACCCCACACATGCTCCACCACGCACCCCACACATGCCCCACCACGCACCCCACACATGCCCCACCACGCACCCTGCCATGTGCTGCCACGCGCCCCACCACACGCCCCACCACGTCTTCCCGCTCCCAACACGCTGGCCCCACAGGGAAGAAGAGCCGGGAAATACCGATTTAGGGTTTGGGGAAGAGTGACCTCGGGTACTTTTTGGAGAAGCTCACGCTCCAGCCAACAGCGGCACACACAGCCCCTGCCCAAGGGCTGTGCAGACCTGCCCTGACCTCGCTATGGCAAAGCTGCAAACACGTCTCTTGGCCTTTAAATGAGACCCTGCCCATCCTTTAGGGCTGCGGTCCCCACCCCCGGGCCAAGGGCCAGTACCCGTCTGTGGCCTGTTAGGCACCGGCTGCACAGCGGGAGGTGAGAGACGGGCAAGCCCCACCTGTACTCACAGCCGCTCCCACGGCTCCCATCACCGCCCGACTCCGCCTCCTGTCAGCTAAGCGGGCCATTAGACTCTCACTGGAGCCGCACCCTACTGCAAACCGCACGTGGAGGGATCCAGGTTGTGCCCCTGATGAGACCCCAACGCCCGGTGACCTGAGCTGGCGCTGAGCGGTGATGCCGGCGCTGGGGAGCGGCTGCAAACACAGATGATCATCAGCAGGGAGGACTGACTGCACGATGAACGTGATGTGCTTGAATCATCCTCCCTCAACCCTGGTCCTTAGACAAACTGTCTCCCACGAAACTGGTCCCTGGTGCCAAGGTTGTGGACGGCTGCTTTGGGGCAGGAAGGTGGGAAGCAGGAGGCTGTGTGCACCGCCACGGGCCAGGGCGGCCGACCCACCAGTGGTGGGCGGAACCTCAGAGCTGCCCCCGGGCTGGGCTGCCGCTGGGGGCTGGGGGGCAGCCCAGGTCACACGGGGACAGCGGACAGACTCCGGCCTCCGCCCGGCCCCTCACACCGCGCCGGGCCCGCCATTCACTCCAAGTCGCCACACGGGGGACATTCCGTCATCACACCTGCAACGGTGACGTTTTAATTTGGAGGAATTAACACTACAGACATCTCCGTTTTAAAAAAATAGAAATTTTCAAAGCATTTTACAGAGAGCCGAGGAAGATCCTCACGCGAACATTCAAGAGGTTTCCGAGGAGCCTCGGGAAGGGGGAGCAGCGCTGGGTCCCCTCCTGCCGGCCAGAGGTGACACTCGCCGTGCACGGCTCCGCGCACACAGGCGGCACCTGCACGGGGAGCGGCCCCTCCGCCAGCGGAAGGGAAGACAGTGCCACGGGAGCCACGGGAGCCACGCGGAGGCATCCAGAGCCCCGGGCTGGCTGGAGCCAGCACAGGGCTGAGCGTGGCACGGCCACGTGTCAGACGGAAAACCAGGGTGGGCGGACGTGGGTGCTGAGGTCAGGCCACGGCTGTGGACACTGCAGACCCAGAACTCCGCCGGCCGCTGGGCCCGGGGACTGTGGACTGAGGCTGTGGCGGGGCCCCAGGCCAGGCCGCCCCTGCCCAGGAGGTCCCGCCCAGGACGGCAGCAGCAGGGCCCACCCGTGGGGGCACCGGCCTGGCACCCCCTCCTGACCCGAGGCCGTCTCTGTCCGGAAGACGGACATTAAAGCTGAGTCCAGCCAGTGTGTGCAACGCCCTGAACCAAGGGACTCTCCCCAGGGGAGCCCTCCGGGGTGTCAACCCCCTCAGCCTCCCACACCCCACGAGGGCCTCCACGTCTGTCTAAGGGACACCCCCAAGGACCCGAGGGGCATCAGAGGCCCTGACCCTCACACCTGAGCTCGCCGGGCAACCCCAGCCAGGCTCAGAGCGGGCCCGGGGTGCACACGCCAGCGGCTCCAGGAAGAGGCAGAGCAGCAGCCAGGTGTCCGGCCCTGCGGGCCTGGGGCGCATGCCAGGTGGGTGCTTAGGAGCACAGGCACCTGCGTCCTCCTGGCCCCTTCCCCAGGGGTGGAGAGGACCCGGCCCTGCCCTGTGCCGCCCACGCCGGGCAGCGGAGGACGCCCCTCCAACCGGGGCATTGGTGAGGGTCCCCAGGCTCTGCTCACGGGACTTGCGGGGTCTCAGACACCTGCCCCCTTCATGTTTCCTGCACAAGGTCCTGGTCTGCTCGCCCCGCCCCGTCCTGGGGGAGGCCGTCCTGGGGGCTGAGGCGGATGCGGGAGGCTGGGCCGAGACGGGGGCAGGGCCGCCGTGCCCGCTTGCGTGTCTGCAAACACAACTCGGGTTCAGGGCAGGTGTTTGTGAGCAGAAGCGGGAACAGATGCTCACTCTGACGTCACCTTGAGAACACCTGAAACCCAGCCCTGGGAGTCACGCCTGCCCGGGCCGTCCTGCGGCGGGGAGCACAAACGCCGCCCGGCCCTGCCTCTCGCAGCCCGCCCAGCCCATGCAGAGGCTCCTCGAGAACCTGATGCCCTCCCCGTGCCGGGAGGACAGGTGGGCAGTGTCTGTGGCTGGCGGCCACTTTGTCCCGCCCGGCTGCCTCAGAGGGCCTTGGCGCTGGCAGGGTGCGCGGCGTGGGGCGCTGGCTTCTGGGGGTGGCAGGCGAAGGCGTAGGCCTGCGCCAGGATGGCCAGGTCCACCAGCACCTGCAGCAGGCCGCACACGGAGAACTGCAGGGGCGCGCCATTCAGCAGGAAGTAGGCCGTCTTGAAGGCGTCGCCGCTGGTCCACATGAGCACCATCTTTATGCTGAGGAGACACAAGCCAGAAGGTCAGCTGTGTGACCCAGGAGGTCGGGGGACACCTGGGGGTCAGAGGACACCCCAGGAAGTTGGGGGGGCACCCCAGATTTATCCCACCCCACCCACCCGAGATCCCTCTGCAGGATCAGAGAGAGAGGATAGCGCTCCCCTGGCCAGGGGTCCTGGGGGCTCCAACCCCCAGCGTGCAGCTGCAATACCCAAGAACTGGGCGGGGTCGGCCCCGGCCGCAGGGAACAGCAGGGCTGCGTCCACAGAGCCGGGACCTCCGGTCGGGCAGCCCTGTGCTGCCGGGAGGAGCGGCATTTCCCCCAGAGCTCCTGCACCCCACAGCCCGCACCCTGGGGGGCCAAAGGCACAAACCAAAGGCTGCCGGGCCGAGGGCCAAGGCCAGGCACGAGCAGAGCAAAGCTGCTTCCCCCGGCCTTCTCCACGCCCGAGACCCTCGGGGTCTCCGTTATTGGTCATCGGTGCAAACTCTGCCTTCATATGTCTCTGTCAGTCCCCGCGGCACAGGGACCTTGGTGAGTGAAGAAGGAACATCCGCCACCCACTGTCCTGGGCCACCCGCATCCCTCTCTGCCCACTGCGTCTGGCGCCCTGGCCTGCCTGGCAGCAGACATGAGCACCCCTGCCTTCCTGCAGGACATACATCTAAATTAAACCCGTTTCCATGGGCAGTCTGAATGTTTCACAGCCAACGAAGCCAGACCACACAGCCCAGGGGCTGCTGGGCCACCGAGGAGGAGGGGTGCCGAGGAGACGGGGACACACCGCCTGCCCACGGGAGCCACGTGCACCTCTGAGCCTCAGCCCCAGTTCACCGAAAAACCAGGGCTCGGGGAGTCCCCACGTGCAGGGTCAAGAGACAGAGACCGCAGCTGGGAGTGCAACATGGCGAAAGGAACCGCCAGGCAGAGGCAGCAATGCACCTGCACCTTCTCCTCAAGCCCACGCTCAGCTACAGGCGAGTCCTATCAGCCTCTGAGAACATAAATGTGGCTTGGTAATTAAACCCACAAGAAAAACCAAGACGGTGTGAGATTATTCCACTTGGGTCAGTTTTGCTAGATCATTATGTCATTTCCTGGGTCCTGGAGGACTACAAATTTACCTCTAAGTATTGCTTTAACTGCATCCCACAAATTTTGATATGTTTTGTTTTCAGCTCGAAATATTTTCTAATTTGCTTTGAGACATCCTCTATGATTAACAGATTATTTAGAAGTATGTTGCTTAGCTTCTAAATCTTTGGAGATGAATTTCTAACTTAATTACATTATAGCCATACAACATAGTTTGGATGGTTTCAGTTCCTTTAAATAAATCTTTATGACCCAGTAAATGGTCTGTTTTGGTGAATGCTCAATGACCATTTGAAAAGAATGCATATTCTGGGTAGAGTGTTCTATAGATGTCAATAAGATTCACTTGGCTACTGGTGGTGTTCAGATCATATCCTTGATGATTTTCTGTCTTCTTTTTCTCTCAATTAATGAGGAGAATTGAATTCTTTAATTGTGGATTTGTCTTTTCATTTGTACCAGCTTTGGCTTTATGCATTTTGAGGTTCTGTTGTTCAGTGCGTTTAGGATTACTGTATCTACTGGTGAATTTACCTGTTTATCATTATGTATTGTCCCTTTTAATCCAAAGCAAATTTCCTTTACTTTGTCTGATATTAATATAGCTATTCCAGTTTCCTTTGATTCATGTATGCATAGTATATATAGTTCACTCTCGTACGCATCTTTCCCAGCCTTTTATTTTTAACCTATGTCACTATATTTAAAGTGGGTTTTTGATAGACAGCGGGTGGTTGGGTCTTATTTTTATAATCACTGTGAAAATCTCTAACCTTTAATTGGTATGTTTCAACCATTTAATGTTCTTATTGATATGTTTGAATGTAGGTCTACCATTTTACTTTTCTGTTCTCAAATTGTCCCTATTTTTTATTCCTGCCTTCTTTTAGATTATTGTAAATGTTCTTAGTATCCCATTTTATCTAATGTGTTTTTCACTGTGTCACTTTGTATAGGTTTTTTTAGTGCTTACACTAGGGTGGTAGTTCCCAAGTGGGAATGGTTTTGCCCCCGTCTCCCCATTCCATCTGGCGATTTCTGGAGACATTTTTAGTTGTCACAACTGGAAGAATGCTACTGACATCTAGTGGCTAGAAGCCGTGGCCACTGGTAAACATTCACAATCATAGGATACTCCCCTACAATAATACCAGTAGTGCTGGTGCTGAAAAATTCTACTCTAGGGAATTATAATATATTTAACTTTTCAGAGTCTGCTTAGAATCAGTATTTTATTGCTTCACGTGGAATGAGGAAACCTGACCCCCATAAGGCTGTTCTAGCCTCCCTCTTTCATGCTGTAGCTGTCATATGCATTATACCTACATGCACTGAAAACCCCACCAGACAATGTTACAGTTTTGCTGTTAAGCTTCACACATATTTGAAAAATCATCAAAGAAAAATAATCTATTATGTTTACCCAGATATTAGCCATTTCTGTTGCTCTTCCTTCATTCCTGGAGTTCCACGTTTCTGTCTGGTACCGTTTCCCTTCCAGCTGAAGAACTTTAACATTTCCTTTAAAGCAGGACTGATGGCAATGCATTCTCTTGGTTTTCCTTCATTTGAGAAGTGAAGTGAAAACTTCACTTCACCTTTATTAATGAAGGATATTTTTGCTAATATAAAATTCTGGGTTGACAGTCCTTTTCTTTCAGCATCTAAAAAATGTGCTGCTTCCTTCTGATCTCCATGGTTTCCGATGAAAAGTCCACAGTAATTCAAACTGTTGTTCATATAGATAGATATAGATATATATCCTTTTTTGTCTGATTTCAACATTTTTCCTTCGACTTTGGTTCTTATAAGTTTCTGATGTGACACGTTTGAGATTTACTGAACTTCTTAAATCTATGTTACCGTTCACCAAATTTAAGGTATCTTGAGCCTATTTCAACTTTTTTTTCCTTTTTCTTTTTTGTTTCTTTTTGTGAAACAGGGTCTCTCTCTGTTGCCTGGGCTAAGAGTGCAGTGGCATCATCATAGCTCACTGCAACCTCCAACTCCTGGGCTCTAGTGATCCTCCTGCCTCAGCCTCCCGAGTAGCTCGGACTACAGACACACGCCAACACGCCGAGCTAATTTTTCTATTTTTAGTAGAGATGGGGTCTTACTCTTGGCTCAGGCTGGTCTCAAACTTCTAAGCTCAAGCAATCCTCCTGCCTCGGCCTCCCACAGTGCTAGGAATACAGGTATGAGCCACCATCCCAGCCTATTATTTTTTTCTATACCACATTCTTTCTCCTCTGGACTCAGATGACATGAATATTAGGGCTTTTGGTATTGCCCCTGACTATTCATATTTTTTTCAATTGCTTTATGTTCAGAATAGATACTTTTTGTTGGTTTGTCTTCAAATGCACTGCTTCCTCTCAGCTTACATTATTGTATTTTTCAACTAAAATATATTTTTTTAATACCTTCCACTTCTCTGCTGAGATAGTCTATGTTTCCACTCATTTTAAGAGTATTTGCTCTTACTCTATGGAGCATAGTTATAATAGTGACTTTAATATTCTCAGGTAATTCCAGCATCTGTTTTGCTTTGGATTGGTGTCTGCTGATTATCATTTCCTTTGAGAGTTGAGATTTTTCTGATTCTTCATGTGTAATTTTGGTTTATAACCAGCCTCCCCTGGCCTGACTAGGGCTGGGAGCCAGCCAACCCCTCACTGCACCCCAACCTTAGCTGCCCCCACCTTCAAACCCCTCACCTGCCCTGCCCTCCCTTCCTGTGGGAACATTCTGGCAGCTCCTGGAAGGCTCAGATACCATCTGACCCCAGGATTCTGCTCCCAGGTACATACTTGAGAGAAAGGAAAACACACATCCACGTGAAATGTGGACGTGGGCGTGCACAGCAGCACATTCACAACCGCCTCCGAGCTGCTGCACAGCCCCAGTGTCCATCCGCAGAAGGATGGATGAGCAGCACTTGCTATAACCATGCCACAGAATATTCCTCAACTGCAAAAAGGAGCAAAGCCCTGACACAGGCTACAACATGCGTGACCCTGAAAAACATCACGCTCAGCGACAGAAGCCAGTCACAAAAGGCCACATGTTGCATGACTCTGCATGTGAAGTGCCCAGAAGAGGCAAATCCACAGAGGCAGACAGTGGGTGGGGGTGGCAAGTGGGAGTGACAGCTCGTATGCCCGGGACTCCTCTCTAGGGTGCTGAAAATATTCCGAAATTAGACTGTGGTGGTGGCTGCACAATTCTGAATATACGGAAACCCCTCGACGGCACGCCGTGAAGGGGGTGTGTAGTGTGCGAGTGGTGTCTCTCCCTGTGGGACACGCTGGTCTCTTGTTACCACAGTGCTGTCACATCGAGGCTCTCGAGTGAGCCACAGAAAGGGTCTTTGCTCGTCCCTGGTGCTGGCGGTCACCCTGCGGGCATCCAGGCTGGGCCGGCAGAGGGTATGCCGCACTTGGTCTACGGTTCCAAACTCCAGTCCCACCCACCTCTGCCAGCGGTCAGGGTGGAGGCCACAGCTGGGGCCTTGGGGACAGTCAGCGGCCTGTGTCCAGCAGCCAGGGCAGGTTCCAGGCAGCTTCCCCACCCCCAGGCTCGCTGTCCCGCACCCCTCCCCATCTGGGGCCACACCTGTTCTCTGTCCCTTCCAGCCACCCTCAAGCCCTCCCTCCCCTCAAGCAGCCTCTGTCTCAGCGGCCCCGCAGGCACAGCCGGCCGACCCTGTGCCGGGCTAGGTGCTGCCCCTCGGCCCTCGCACACAGACACGTCTGCTCAGACAGGAGGGCCAAGGGCCCATGTGCTTAAACCTACCTGGCTCTGTATCTGGCAGCTTTACAGTGCTGATGAGAACATCCTACCTCATGCCCTCCGTGGACCGGTGGCAGTGGTTGCGGTAGAGCTGTGGCACGCCCAGCATGGCCTCAGTAAACACAGCCAGGAAGCCCAGGGTCTCCACGAACAGGGCCGAGTCGATGGACAGGTACGTAATGTAGCCCGCCACACCTGTGAAGGCCAGGACACACTGCACGTAGTCCGAGAAGCTGCTCCAGTGCCAGAAGTGGTGAGGGTCGAAGTCTAGGACAGACAGAGAGAGCAACTTCAGGTGGGTGTGCAGGTCAGGGAGGCAGGTGTGCAGGTGAGGGGTGCAGGTGAGGGGTACAGGTGTGCAGGTGTCCAGGTGAGGGGTGCAGGTCAGAGGTGCAGAGGTCCAGGGGTACAGGGGAGGTGTGCAGGTGAGGGGTGCAGGTGACAGGTACAGGTGAGGGGTGCAGGTAAGGAGACGTGAACTGAGGGAGAGGCAGAGGCCAAGGTCAGAGTGAGGAGACAAAAGCTGCGTGTTTTCTGGTCCAGGCATTTCTGAGGGAAACTTGTACATATATTAAGTCAACACAAAACATGCTGAAGTCAAGCCAGGTGCAGTGGCTTGGGGGCATGCACCTGCAGTCCCAGCTTCTTGGGAGACAGGCAGGAGGATCACTTGAGCTGCAGTGAGCTGCCATTGTGCCACTGCGCTCCAGCCTGGGTGACAGAGCAAGACCCTGCCTCTTAAAAATAAGAAAAAAAGATGCCAAAATCCTTAAAGTTCATCTTCGCGTCTCTGGGAGGCAGCACCACATGAGGACTGCACCAGTCTCGGAACTCTGATCCCGGGCCAGAACCACAGGCCCCCAGGGACACCAGGCTGGCCAGGGGTCTCCTTCCCTCGGGGACACAGGGAGTCGCAGTCCCTGCCGCCAGGGCTGTCATGACAACAAACGAGTCAGTCTCGACTCTTGTTATGTGCCTGCCCTCGACGAGACCGACATACACTGTCACCACCCACTTGGCTGTGTGCTCGCAAACACTTACACAAACTGCAAATTAAACAAGGCAGGTGAACACGCAGTGCCCTGGGGACAGAGCGGCTGGGCTGTGGGGAAACATCAGGTAAATGGGGAGAGACCGCCAGAGGCCTGCCAGGTGCAGGAGGCTGAAGGGCCCCTTCCCCAGCAGGGTCAGAGCAGGGCCCAGCCGCAGGCCCCGCACACGGGCAGGCGTGGCGGGCGGGGGCTGGACAAGGGGTGTCCTGGCTGCACCCATGAGCCCCTCCCGCAACCTGTGCAAGAGCACTTAGCAAGAGGCGGGGCCTGAGGTCACTCGGGGGCGGGGGGGGGGGTCACCTCCTGGAACACAGGGGAGCTGCAGTGAGGAGGAAAGGCCTGAGCAGGACGGCTGTGCACAGGTGGGCTGTGGACACAGGACACCAGGTGGGGCCCAAGGACAGGCCTGAGCAGGGTCAGCTGTGCACAGGTGGGCTGTGGACACAGGACACCAGGTAGGGAACAAGGATGGGCCAGTGCAGGACGGCTGTGCACAAGTGGGCTGTGGACACAGGACACCAGGTGGGGAACAAGGATAGGCCAGTGCAGGGACGGCTGTCACAGGTGGGCTGTGGACACCGGACACCAGGTGGGGCCCAAGGACGGGCCTGAGCAGGGTCAGCTGTGCACAGGTGGGCTGTGGACACAGGACACCAGGTGGGGAACAAGGATAGGCCAGTGCAGGACGGCTGTCACAGGTGGGCTGTGGACACAGGACACCAGGTGGGGCCCAAGGACGGGCCTGAGCAGGGTCAGCTGTGCCCAGGTGGGCTGTGGACACAGGACACCAGGTGGGGAACAAGGATGGGCCAGTGCAGGACGGCTGTGCACAGGTGGGCTGTGGACACAGGACACCAGGTGGGAAACAAGGATGGGCCAATGCAGGACGGCTGTGCACAGGTGGGCTGTGGACACAGGACACCAGGTGGGAAACAAGGATGGGCCAGTGCAGGATGGCTGTGCACAGGTGGGCTGTGGACACAGGACACCAGGTGGGGCCCAAGGACAGGCCAGTGCAGGGACGGCTGTCACCAGTCAGCTGTGGACACAGGACACCAGGTGGGGCCCAAGGACGGGCCAGTGCAGGATGGCTATGCACAGGTGGGCTGTGGACACAGGACACCAGGTGAGGCCCAAGGACGGGCCAGTGCAGGGTCAGCTGTCACCGGTCAGCTGTGGACACAGGACACCAAGTGGGGCCCAAGGAAACCCAGGTCTGAGGTCAATCTGTATGGGACCTTTCTATTTTAGCTTCTCTGAGGGAGTCATTAGTAAGTGAAAAATAGATAATCCTCATTAAACAGTTTTTGAGAAAAAGAACAAACTTGGACATACTTACCTTATACCATATACAAAATTTAACCTAAAATGGATCAAAGAAACAAATGTAAGGCCTAAAACTATAAAGCTCTTAGAAGAGAACATGTAGAAGCCCCTCATGATGTTGGGTTTGTCTATGACTTCTTGGCTATAACACCAAAGCACAGGCAACAAAAGACAAAGCAATAAGTCGCACTTCATCAAAATTTAAAACTTCTGGGTTTCAACGCACAAAAATCAACAAGGTGAAAAGGCAACCGATGGAAAGAGAGAAAACACTTGCAAACCACGTATCTGCTAAGAAATGACGTCCAAAACACACAGAGCTCCTACCGCTCAACAATGAAAAAACCCAATTAAAAAATGTGCAAAGGCTGAAAAATATGTTTTTCTCCAAAGAAGATCTACCACTGGCCAACAAGCACATGAAAAGACGCTCACCACCACTCATCATATCAGGAAAACGCAGACCGAAACCACGAGGAGATACCATGGCACACCCAGCACAGGAGCCACTATCGAAAAAGCCAGGAGGCCAGTGTCTGCTGGTGGAGACGTAAATGGGGCAGTTTCTGTGGAAAACAGCTCCTCAAAACTATTAAAAGTAGAGTTGCAGGCCGGGCGCGGTGGCTCACGCCTGTGATCCCAGCACTCTGGAAGGCCGAGGCGGGAGGATCACTCAAGGTCAGGAGTGCAAGACCAGCCTGAGCAAGAGTGAGACCCGTCTCTACTAAAAATAGAAAGAAATTAATTGGCGAACTAAAAATATATAGAAAAAATTAGCCGGACATGGTGGCGCATGGTGGTAGTAGTCCCAGCTACTTGGGAGGCTGAGGCAGGAGGATCGCTTGAGCTTGAGAGTTGGAGGTTGCAGTGAGCTAGGATGACGCCACCGCACTCTAGTCTGGGCAACAGAGTGACATTCTGTCTCAAAAAAAAAAGAAAAACAGTAGATTGCCCGGTGATCAGCAAGCCCGCTGGGCGCACCCACAAGAACTGAGAGCAGGCCTTGCAAGTGCCCCCACACCTGCGTCACGGCAGGTCGTCACAACCGTCGCAGGTGGAAGCCACCGCCAATGCCACTCCGGGAGTGGGACAGGCGCCACGGGACGTCATCCGGCTTCGCGAGAAGGGATTCCGACACCTGCGGCAAAGCGTGTCAGCCAGCCTCGAGGCAGCGAGCGGAGTGAACGAGCGGTGGGGCCAGACGTGTGGTGATTCCCCACACGAGGCCCAGACAGCGGGACGCTGGGGGGGCGGGCGGGCGTGAGTGCTTCCGGGAGACAAGTCTCCTCTGGAAGACGGACCGGGGCAGCTACACATTGTATTTACTTATTTTTGAGACAGAGTCTCGCTTTGTTGCCCAGGCTAGAGTGCTGTGGCGTCAGCCTAGCTCACAGCAACCTCAAACTCCTGGGCTCAAGCAATCCTCCTGCCTCAGCCTCCCGAGTAGCTGGGACTACAGGCATGCACCACCATTCCCAGCTCATTTTTTCTATATGTTTTTAGTTGGCCAATTAATTTTTCCTTTTTTTTTTTTTTTGTAGTAGAGACGGGTCTCGCTCTTGCTCAGGCTGTTTAAACTACTGACCTTGAGGATCCTCCCTCGCGCAGCTCCCAGAGTGCTAGGATTACAGGTGTGAGCCACCGCGCCCAGCCTGCACATTGTGTTTAATCCCACGCAGCCGACTCTGCACCGGGTAGATTTTATGCTGAATATTTTACCACAATAGGAAAAAATGGGGAAAAAAACCTATGAAAGGGGTAAAACAATTCAGAGAACATGCTTGTGTAGGAAACCCAGTCCTGCGCAGGCCTGGCCAGCGTTGGACCCCAGAAACAACCCCAGGAACACAGATGCTCAGGTTGGGGCAGGACCGTCATCCTGGAGGAGCCTGGAGGAGGTCGGACTCCTCCCCCCAGCAACCGAGGCAGGGCCTGGGGGCCCAGGCGTGGGCAGAGCCACACGCGGAGTCTGTATTTGCTGGTGGCCACATCAAATTACAAAACGAAACCGCTGAAATCAGTGCTAACCCTGCATTTCACCACCCCAATACATCTAAGCACAACCATCTCGACAGGAACCAACCTGCGAGAAACCTCAGCTGCCCAGTGTTCTCCCTCCTGTGCCAGGGCTGGGGCGCCTGGCACACTCGGGGAGCAGTCTACACCCCAGATGCACCCTGGGCAGGGTCCACACAGCAGTCCCAGTTGCTGCTGGGAGTCCCCAAGAGGCCAGTTGGCCGCAGGGCTGGCGCAGAGGGGGCAGCGACGGGCAGGTCAGGCCAGCACCGGCCTCCGGGCCGCGGGGAGGGGTGGCGGGGTCGTGGCCATGCGAGGGCGCCCAGGTGCAGAAGCCGACCAGGGCCGGTGAGTGATGAGCAAAGCCCGGGTCACGGTCTCGTCACCCAGAGAGAAGACCTGGGAGCCCCGGACTGTCCACAAACCCGGGGTGACTCAGCATGAGCCTGTGTCCCGCTGCCCGGAGAAGGAGCGTGCGTGACAACTGGGGCCGCAGTGTCCCCAAGGCGAAGCGCGGAGTGAGCTGGCGTCTGACGGAGGCAGGGCTTTGGCACAGGTGTGGGCGGAGAAGGGCGCAGCCAGGAGGGCGCCTGCTATGGAACACGCATCTCCCCGTCCCCTCGGGGACCGGGGACCGGGCGCCTGGCTGGCAGAGCAGGGAGCCTGAGGGCCACCTCCGACCCCGCACCGCGGTGACCCGTCTCCTGCGGGCCGCCTCAGGCCCCTGCTCTGCCCGTCCACACCCTGACGCTGCATTGCAGGCGGGTTTTGCAAAAGGCAGTTTGCCCGAGTGACCCACACGGACTGCCAGAAACCGCACACAGTCAAGGCAAACCCCAAGCAAGTGCAAAAGCGAAGCCCACGTCCTGTCCT